TGTACACACATTTCTGGTCAAGAAATCTCTAACCACATATATAGCTGCTTTTGAGCTCACTGGTGTAGCATTATTTTTTTTTTTAATTTTTTTTTAAATTTTTTTTAAGATTTTATTTATTTATTTGAGAGAGAGAGAATGAGAGACAGATAGCAAGAGAGGGAAGAGGGTCAGAGGGAGAAGCAGACCCCCCGCTGAGCAGGGAGCCCGATGTGGGACTCGATCCCGGGACTCCAGGATCATGACCTGAGCTGAAGGCAGTCGCTTAACCAACTGAGCCACCCAGGCGCCCTGGTGTAGCATTATTTTAACTAAGAAATAACACTGCTACCACCAAAGCAAACAAAAATGCACAAAAAGACTATCACATGGAACAAAGAACACTGCATATGTAGATTGAAAGCTACACAAATAAGGATTTCCTAGAGGTTTCCCAACCCAGAGAGTTTTATAAAGATAAACCATATCTCCTGAATATTTTAACTTGGTAGGTCAGCACTACCCAAAAATGTTTTGTTTTAAACAACAAAGGTGAATCTGATAGAACAAATTCACAGATCTACACCTGGGAACCTCCAGTGAGTCTCACTTCCAAGGCACAAATGAGTATTAGAAGATAATCCACAATAATGAATTTATCTAGTACTATGTATTTCCAAATAGAGAAGAGCAAAATAAGAATGATGAGAGCAATTTCATTAAACAAACTGGGTTTCATAGGAACAGACCTAAACATTCGTAATGCTCACTTAAGGATGCAGCTAGTTAATGAATAATGTAAGTTTACAGAAGCAAAACTTGTTTTTGTTTTCAAAAATATCTATTGCACAGAAAGAATCATCAAATTATTACCACGGCTTGATTCACTGATGCCTTGATCATTCATTCAGCAAATATTTATTGAGTACATATCTTTGTTCTATGTGCTAAGGACAAAGCATGAACAAAACTAACCGCTCAAAACTGAGAAGCTCTCATGCTACATAAACTCAATGGTTTACAAATCTTCTAGATGCAGACAAAGCACAAACAGGTAAGGCGAGAAGAGGACCCTTCATCTACTATTGGCAGGTAGGGGTGATGTCCTCTTCTTAGGAGGCTACAGGGGCAGACTGTGGTCAAGGTACTAACAGACAGAGTGGGGGTTAGTACACGTAGGTATTATTATAAGTGTAATGGGTTCCTTTCTCAAATTAGCAGTGGCCACTAGCACCTAACGGGGGAAAGGAGAGGGGGAGGCTAAGGTAAGCTGGGGGAGAAAAGAGAGGGTAAAAACAAAAAGCAAAACCATCCGTTTCTAGGCAGGGCTGAGTCAAGGACAAAAAACTTGAAATCAGAGCTATCACGAAGCCCACAATCCAAGCCCACATACCACTGTATTAAATTTCAGAATCAGGGTGCTATCACATTTACCTACTTTAACATTTTCAGTAAGCACAAACAAGTCATTTACCTATGTTTTCCTCCTACATCTTTGACAGGATAAACAAAATGATCAAAGTATCTCTAAGGGACTAGGTGTCTGATAACGCTAACCATTCAAATTCTTTTTATTTAATGTAAACTTCAGTGACTTTGTTCTTTCTATTGCTCTGTCATTAGTGTCTAGAAAAAGGGTTCAGTAAATATTGGATGGATGGATGGATGGATGGATGGATGGATGGATGGATGGATGGGTGGGTGGGTGGGTGGGTGGAAGAAGCAAATCTAGAGATCCAGAAGCCAAAAGAAAGTAAGCAAAATCTCTTCTGGCTGATCTCCCTTCCCAGACAGGTTCAGAATTTCAGGAATCAGTAGGAGGAATGCCCAGGGCAGACCCACAAATTCAAAGAACATGGAGAACTGGCATTTGTTATTTAAGAGAAAACTAGCTAGAAACTAGAAAAAGTCCAAAGGACTGTGTCTAAGACAAAGGCAGAAAACAATGAACTGGGTCAATAACAAAGCAAGCCAGACTGGTTACTGAATAAGAACCTCTTAGGGGTTCTTACTCAGTAAGTAAGCATTTCTGAACGGGGAAGAAATTTTTATGGGATCCCTGTGGCCTGTCCAGGCTGTTGGTAAAGCAAGGGAAGGTGCTAAGACATTCTAGGCAACACCTTTAATTCTGAAGAGACTTTACAAAGGTAAAAAAACCTTTAGCATAGCACCTCAATTTCAAATGTGCTGTGCACGGCTCTCAAAGGCTGGGAGGTGAAGCATGGTAGTCTTTATACATCCAGAGCCTTAGGAGAAGGTGTACCTGAGCCCTAAGACATCTGAGAAGAGAGAAGGAATATATCAGCAAAGGGAGGAAGGAGGAGGCAGAGGTTACGGTGTCCCAGAACTAAGTAAACAAAGTGTTTCAAAAATGAGAGTCTGAGAAACTGTGTCAAATATTACTGACGTCTGCGTAAATGGTGACCTTGACTCGGGCGCTGCATGCCTGAGGTCAGGGCAAGCAAGAATGGCAGGAAAGAGAGGAGAGAGAGCAAGTGTAAATAACACTTTTAAGGAGTTCTGCTTGACAGAAGCAGCAGAAAGGTACACAGAGAAGAATGTGAGATTAAGAACAAGCTTCTGCCATAGCTATGTTCTGTTTTAAAGAGGAGATCCGTGCTGGCAGGAATGATCGTGCAGCAGATAAACAGAACAAGTGGAACGGGACCGTTGCTGGGGTGAGGCCTACAAGCCGGGGAGAAGGAACATGACCCAGTACCTACTAGAGAGGATGGGCACACACAGGTGAACAGTGTAGCCGCCTAAGTGGGGGAAGGCAGAATTGATGGGGTACATGTGCACTTAGGTTAGTACATGTGGAGGTGGAAACGTGCAGAAATGTCTCAGTGAAATAGGAAAATATTACTCATCATTAGCTGAGAGTGAGGAAGGGGAAGAAAGTGCTGTCAGTTTAAGAATGAGAAAGTGAGTAAGAATCGTGCAAACAAGTGGGAAATGAATGGATGAGGGAAAGGCGGTAGGATTTGCAGCCAGCCAGCACTCAAGGCTCCCATAAGTGCAGGAGTCCTGCCTGAGTGCAGGTGTGAAGGAACCTAGACCAGAGGAGATGAAGCAGAAGCAGGAATCCAGTTTTTCTCAGTGCCTATCCTTCAGAGAGCAGAATCTACAGGAATGAGCGAAAATTAAGCAGTCCGATCTCAGCTACTTGCTCTTCTCCCTTGGATATACACGTCTGAGCTTTCAGCATATACATAATTTATCTTGTATACAGTTTAAAGCAGAAAACTGTATATAGAAGAACTTACTCCAGGCTAACTGCATATCTTCAGGGTGATGGAAATATGAAACTTATCATTCCCTACGTTGTTTCTCTCATCACCTTTGTTTTTTATTTTACTCTTCTCATAAAAAGGAAAAAACTTAAATGAAAAATTTTGTAAGCGCATGGTGTGAAACAAAGTAGAAGTGCCATAATATGTTGACTATCTGCAGACAGAGGAAACCGTACCACAAACACTGGCAATCTTCAGTATAGAGATGCCTTAGATGTAACTCCTACAGACCCTCTGTCCCAGGCCCATCGTGGTAGGGCCTGTTTGCTCTGGTGGACATAGGCTTCCCCGCTCTCCCTGACCCGCCACCGCCTACCCTACAGGACCCAGTCCTCCCACCTATTCCATTACTGGAGCTGTATACAACCACAAAAAGGTTTGAGAAAAACCTTTTCCATCATCAGAGCAGAAAGCACTCAGGAGTGGGGTAGAAGAGGTAGGGAGGAGAGCCTCTTGCTCACTGCAGAGCTACTTTGCAATTATTCCCCAGATCCAGTGATATATACAAGTGTTTCTAGTACTATAAAGGACTGAGAAGATCAGCAGACAGATTCTACTGGCAACATTTAATAAATATAATTAGGTTCACAAACCCTGAAGGAAATGACCTCAAAAATAAAAAATTAAAAAATAGATGGACTATCTACTCTAGGCTTAAGATGTGAACAATGCCATATTCTAAATTATTTCAAAAAGTTTATACTGGTTTGAGTGAAGATCAAATTTTTTCACCTTAACTTTATAATAATTCAGAGTTTAAAAAGACCTACCAGTAAAATTTATTCTACATCAAGTATCACCAGTAAACATTTCTAAACCTTAAGCCCACGTTTTAAACTTGGTATATATTCAACAAAATTTTACAAATAGAGCACACAAATCAAAGGTTTGTTTTAAATAGTTAACTACAAAATGGAAGGCTGTCCTCAATGCTGTTATCAACCCATTTTTCTTGATGTTTGTACTTTTCAAACAAAATCTTAAAAGTGTTAACACAAAGCTATATAAAAACAAAGGACAACTTAAATACCAGCAAAATTTAAGAAACAACTTAAACAATTATATTCCAGATATGGGGTAAAGGCTAAACCCTGAAAAGAAATAAAAAGACACAAAAAGAAACCCCAAATAATAGAGAGCCTGCACTAATTTACATCTGACCTTGTTCTGCTCGCCCACAAAAAGATGAGTGGGCAATATATACTCCAAATTTTAAAAATTAAATGTGAAATAAGTGGGTAAAGAAACAAGCGAGTATAATCTAGCCTACAACTAAATGCTAAAAATCTTCTTCCCTTACAGGTTACTGGTGTTAGAGCCTGCCAGTGTAAAGAATGAACAGAACATTCTGTCATTGATGGAACGCAGGGAAAACCCAAATACTGTCATTCAGGTCAAAACTATTCTCTAAATGAAAGTAATTTAGCATTAACACTGAATAAACTTGGCCTGTAATAAGGGTAACTTTAAGATGAGCTAACTGAATTAGAATTTTGGAGATTACCCAAGAAATTATAACATGTGAATGGAGCTGGTACAAATACTTACAGGCTACAGGGTCCACTGAAGTTCTGTGTAAATATATGTGAGAATTCGATTTCCCCAGATCCAGTGTGCCAAGCTCGACAGTTCTTCTGATCATGGCACTTTCAACGGTTTCATGAAACACATCTACTCACCTACACAATTATCAACAATGGGATTCCCACGAGCAACATTCCTTCTCACCTGTCTTTGATGATCCAGATCTGCTTTATTACCAATTAAAATCATTGGAAACTCATCACGATCCTTCACTCTGAGAATCTGTCTTTGAAACTTATAGATCTCTTCAAAACTAAAACAGAAACAGACAAATCAATTTGCTCAAATATCAGAACTTGGCTAGTCTCACACCCCATTTAGTATCTTATTACTTCACCTTTTTCTCTAAAAACAAGAAGTCCAATTCAATACAATAGTGATCTAGGCATGAACAGAAGATCTACATTTTAATACTGGTACAAACCTGCCTCGATCTGTGACTGAAAAGACCAGCAGGAAACCCTCGCCAGTTCTCATATACTGTTCTCTCATAGCTCCGAACTCTTCTTGTCCTGCTGTATCCAGAACTAAAGAGAAAAACAACACATGGGCAGGCCCAATGAACGTGGGTCCTTCAGAGCACATCTGACTTAGTGCAATAAAGACATGGCATTCTCCTCGGAGTGCTTTATTCTCATATTGCTAGAGACAAACATATCTCACAGCAGACAGTTTCAGGGTCATCCTCATCAGTACGGGTTGATTTCGTAGCTACAATATATTAGCATACCAACCACAAGGTTAAAAATATCAAATACATCTAGGCAGATGGAGTCAGATCACCTCTGAAGTCAGCTGGATGTTCTATCTCCTCCATGCAAAGAACTGAAAAAGATACCTGTAAATTCAGGAAAGAAATCTTGGTCTACTCCCACCAACACCACACTTAAAGTGCAGGTACTAACGTACCTCTTGATCTCTGTGAATGAAAGAATCATGTAAATTAAAAGAACAGGGCTATCTTTTGTGGAGACACGGAGTGTGTGACCAAGCACAAAACGCTATTTGCTAACGCCTCTGTGCTAAAAATTCTAAGCAAGTTAACAAATATTCAATCTTTTCTATATTTACTTCACCCATTTTAACATTTGCAAGAAAGCAGGAAGAGCTGAAACTTCATGTTTTTTTCCCAAATGTCCCCAAAAATACAACTTCAACAAGTTACACTGACATGATTAGTTTCACCAGCACAAGATCAACACAATTCTTGTTTTATATTACATTTACTGAGGAATATTTAAATGCTGATTCATCAATCAAAACTAATGAAAAGAGGTGGGCTTATGTTCAAGACCATCTAAAATTTATGAAACTAGCAAAACACCCAAGCTTACTTTTTAAAAATAGGATATGCGAACTATCAAATAAAGGAAGACTACTTACTATCTAGCCGGGCTGCTCGGTCATCTATCACACACTGCTTTGTGTAGGAATCCTCAATGGTTGGGTCATAATCCGTTACAAAATAGGACTGTAAGAAAAAAATCTTATTTTTAAATATATGTTTAATTGCCAAGTACCAATGTAACTTTAATCAAATCCCACTTATCCAGAATTAATAACAATATTTTCATGTATTATGGTTTAAACTACTATGTTGGTTTCCCACTGAATGAAATCTATTCTGAGCAGCTTCCAAGTAGAGAACAGGTACTAAACAGCTCTGAATTTTCCTATCTGATATATGCAAGACTGCAAAACACCTACTACAGTTTTTTCATAATTATATACAGTAATGTTTTCATAATTACATATACCCAAGATAATATTAATCTAGATCTCATGTTCTTCAAAAACTAGAAAAACAGTCAGTTATAAATCCAGGTCTATTTGCAACTCAGTGGTAAGCACCAGTCCTGAGAACAAAGCAGTCTGAAACAAAGGGAGACAACAAATAGGGGCCTGGAAGATTCCATGCCTCATCTTCATTCTCCCCTTCTTTCCTCGCACCTTGTCTTTTTCCCATTCAGCTGCCTTGTGTATCATCATACGGAAATGGGATTTCAGAATTTTTTTTTTATTTGCAGGGATCTCAAACTTACTCTTTCACTGATATTTTTGTTTTTTTCATCTTAACTTCTGTTTCTGTCTTCTTCTGTTAGCAAAGCCTCCCAACTGTTATCTTCTGCAATCATCACCAGAAGCAAGGACAGTTAAGGTAGCAGAGTAAGAAGGGAAGAATCTCAGTGAGCCAGTTAAAAATGTTTGTGTATTACACTTCACAATTTCTTTAAAGTTTTTAAAAAGAAAACAATGGCAACACTAAGAATCTTAGAGAGAACTTATTTCCCGCTTCTGACAGAAGGGCACTAACTAGGACACTGACATCATCCTTCTTTTGTTCTGAGCATCTCCTTTGCTCTCCCCTCTTGACTGACTTCCTCAAAGCCTACTTTCCCACTGGCTCGTTACCAATTCTGAGGGAATGACTTAGAGGAAGGCAGCTTGATGCTGGGAACCAGAGCCAAAGGGGTTCAGCCATTCTTCAGGCAAGGGTTCCTGGCAGCTGGACCTGCTGGCTCCAGGGACACTGCATTCATAAGTGACACCCCCCCCCGCCCCCGCCCCCGCCAGCATGTGATGTACACGAACACCATAGGCTACTCAGAAGTAGGAACTCTGAACAAAACAGTAAAGAAACCCCTGGTTGGGGAACTGGGGGTAGGACACTTGATCTGCTTGCTACTATGACTTGATATATTTTATTTTTAAAGGACACTTTCCACATTTATATTTTAGGATTAGCTTTAATCACAGAATTCAGTATCCATAATCCTATTTCCCTCTGGATGGTTTCACTTAAATGCACAATTTTTCAAAGTCTATAAAAGAAACATTTACCAACAGGAGCAGCTTTGAGTAGAAAACCATCTCCATCACCACTCCATCTCCATTTAAAAATAAACAGATACCAAAACAATCCTGAACTTGCTTTTTGGCACCCACATCTCTTCTAAAAGTGATAACAACTGGCAACAGTATCTTTCTACACACTCTTCTAAACAACTTAAAACTGTAGTCTTTCCCTCAAGCAAGTTGGATAGGCATGCTGTTTATATCTTTTTAAGATTAGTTTCCTGAAACATGTTTCTCGGCAGCAATGGGATACTTCCTGCCACGCTTTCATCTTGTAAAACCTGAAATTCACTGAGTACTCCCAGTTTACACCTAAACGTGCTGAAGTGTGCTGCACTGTCCCTCCCACTTCATCTGAAAAAATAATGGACAAATATTAAATATATTTTAGTCATGCATGGTAACAAATTCGTTCGGTGTGACTTTTTTTTTTTTTTACACTATGAGACAGAATTAAGACATTAAGAAGATTACTGGGTTTAAGCAATTTTGAGGGCCATTAAAATAAATTATTTTTCCTTTTAGTGACTATGGAAGTTTCACATTTTCTTTGGCCCTCTTAGCTCTTCAAACATAATTTTTTTTTTTTAAGAGAGCAGGAGAGAGAAGGGGAGGCAGAGAATCTCAAGCAGGCTCCACACCCAGCATGGAGCCAGATGCGGGGCTTGATCTCACAACCCTGAGATCGTGACCTGAGCTGAAATCAAAGAGTTGGGCTTTTTTTTTTTTTTTAAGATTTTATTTATTTGACAGCGAGAGAGAGAGAGAGCATGGGCGGGGGAGCGGCAGGCAGAGAGAGAAGCAGACTCCCCACTGAGCAGGGAGCCCGATGTAGGGCTCGATCCCAGAACCACAGGATCATGACCCGAGCCGAAGGCAGACGCTTAACGACTGAGCCACCCAGGTGCCCCATCATAATCTTAAGGTTATAAGAATTTTGCCACTTTGCTACCAAACACTGGCGCACACATATTCCACCGATATTTTTAAGACCAAACTAATTGCTGGAATTTCTGGTGTTTAGGTCCATATTTCATCTTCACTGTGTCCTGTTTTCAAACTGTGACTATAGAGACCATCATTTTGTTTCTATATATTGATTTTAGGGAGACAGAAAGCATCTTCCTCCCTCATAAAAACCCATCCAAATAACAATGCTCCAGGGCCTGACTGACATGGAATCCAACACCCCCTTCTCTCTCATAATGCTTGTAAGCCACAGGTCAGAATGTGCCTAAAAAGAGCATTCTTCATGTGCAGGTAACAAATACAATCATCACCTCCCCCCACAAAGACATAACATTTCTGTTGCTTTAACCTAGGTACCAGATATTTAGGGCAGCAGATCACCAACAAGAAATCAGTCTGGCGATGGACAGTCCTAGATTTGATACTAATTCTGCTACTTTCTAAGTGTAGAACCGGAGGCAAGTTACTTTACCTTTCTAACCTTTAGCATCTGTAAAACAGGACAATAAGGGGTGCCTGGGTGACTCAGGGTTAAGCGGCAGCCTTCAGCATGATCCCAGGGTCCTGGGATCAAGCCCCGTGTCGGGCTCCCTGCTCAGCGGAGAGCCTGCTTCTTCCTCTCCCTCTGCTTGCCACTCTGCCTATTTGTGCTCTCTCTCTCTCTCTCTGTCAAATAAATAAATAAAAATCTTAAAGAAAAAAAAAAACAGGACAGTAACAAACCCTCGTGGAGCAGATAAATTCAAGTAGTGCCTATAAAGTGCCAAGACATGCTGATGATTGATAAACGTTAACCACGCTGCAGTGTTTTTGTCACACAATTAGATGGTACAAGTGTTTTTATTCAAGTATAAAGACTTGTTAATCCTGGGAACAGCTGTATAATTCCAATCCTGGTTATACCACAGACCAACCATGGCACTTGGCATCCAAAATGTTGTGAGTCAAGATAAAATCTCCTCATGTGAAGTTTTAGAGATTTTTTTCTGGAATCTGAGCAGTAATTACACAGATACACACATAGGTAAAAATTCATCAAGCTGTACACACGATGTGTGCACTGTTTTGTATGCATACAAATTGGACCTCTGTAAGATACATAAATTTAATGATTCCCTGCTGTTTACAGGATTCAGTGCCTTCTTCACATAGCATGCAAAGCCTTCTAGTTTGATCTGTACTGTTCATCATAAGAAGCCTTATATTTTACTACTTGAAATCCTCAGCCAATTGCTCTTGCTCTCCTGGTTTCATTCGTTTGTTTGGCAGTTATTTATGGAGCATCACGGGGACAAGGCCCAACTTTCACAGAGCCTCACTGCTTTTACACAACATCCAGTGCTGCGACTGGGGGTGAAGGGAATGGGGAGTGTGAAATATACAGGCATGAAATGCCAATACCATGCTAGTTCAGAAGGCAACAAAATTTAAGTGGCTTAAAGACTGTAGTCATGTACAGGAACTATGTGTACATTGACTTATAAACACAGTCCAGCAATTTGCCAGAAAAGAAAACAGTCTCTGGTCCTGAGGCTGAAAGAAGTTGCCAACCACAGTCCAGAAAGGATATTCTATAGCAGAAAGCAAGGAAAAAAAAAAAAAAATGAGCACAGTGTTGCATAGCAGAAGACAGCAGAGAACACACTGAAAGGGGAAGGGTGGCAGGAGAAAGTAACGTGCTTTCTTGGTATCACAGGAAAGGATGCATGGAGAAGGACCCTAGCCAGAAAGAAAGGGAATGCCTACTTTCAAAGGGCAGGATGCCTTCCAGGTAGTACGAAGGGCAAATGGACATAAGTCTCCTTAAGGTTGTTAAGATTTATGGAGAAAAGTTTAGGATTCGGGAAGCTATCCCATTGAGACAGGGAGTCGATTTCCCCTTGATAAAATCTGGTCTGGGTAAGGCTGTCAGAAGCCCTTAATAATGCAAGAGCATTATGCTGTAATGGCAGGAACAGTATTCCTGATTATATGCCACTAGATTGCACATCAGGAATTCTGCTTGGCCTAAGAGAACTGCCAGCTCACTATCTTCCCATTCAAAGAAGCTGCCTTAAGAAAGAAAAGAAAGGGGAAGGGGAGGAGAGAGAATGGGCTGAGGCCACTTCTGCATTTAGGGGGCAGGAGTGAGAGTCCACTTTCTCCTGACGCCCAGCTACTGGTGGAAGTGTAGTTCCAGAGCACTGCCACAGAGCGGTGCCTGGTCTACACAATGGGATGGGTAATTTACTGGAGATGTGTGAAACTGTAAATCCAGCACTCTGGTTAAGTTTCCTACCCTTGCTAGATCTAAGGTGCCACTGGGGAGTCGTAAGCAAACGAAAGGGCATTTCTAAGCATAGTGCCAGTCTCAGGAAGAGTCTCAGGAGTCCTCTAAAAACATGGGGTACAGAAAGGAAAGGGAGACTTTCTCTTCTTGACATCCTGTTCAGCTCACCCTTCTTCCCCCACACTACACAAAGAATCCACATCATGAAACATTCTAGATACAGAATCCTTTGGTTCTCTGCCCCCTCCATTTCAAGTCAGTATTTTCCTATTCTTAATTCTATCCACAAAACCTATGTTTTTTAAATCATGATAAAATAAACTAAAACATAAGGTTTCCTAAGGGCTCATTTTCTATTAATACATGCACTTATAGTC